GCACAAGGGCTGTGTGTTCCCATTTGATGACCCCAGTGCAGTGACACAGGCAGGACAAAAAAGTCTGGGTTTCTGTGCTGCTGATTGCCAGGGCATGTGTGGAGCTGTAACTTACCAGGTCCCTGCATCACTGTGCCTGTGGCTCTCCCCCTTCTTCTAGGGCTGATGATTATCCTGCATCCAGGGATCACAGGACAGGTCTTCTAATGAGGGCCTGTCCAAGGAGTTCAGGGATAAACACCACCTGATCAGAATCTGGCAGTCTGGAGAGAGAAACCACAAACCACTGGTCAGTTGGAGAAGGCTCCTGTCTGCTTTGCCCCACTATTGATTCCAGTGCCCAGGCCACGCTGGATGTGCTCAGAGCTGGGCCTAAACTTTCCCATCAATTCTTTGTTTTGGAGGAGAGCAGGAGAGCAGGACATGTGCCACCTCCTCAGCAGCTGCCAGAGCGGGATGCTCACGAGCCCGCTGCTGTCTCCCAGCACTGGTGTTCCCCCCGTGCCCAGAGATGAGGATCCACCTTGGGAGAGCCGTTGTGGCAGCGGGAGCTGGCCCCATCTGATGTTCCTGCCCCTCCTGAAAGGGTGCTCCCCGCAGACCATCTCGTGCAGCAGGATGCCCAGGGACCAGACGGTCGCTGCCTCGCCATGGTACCAGCCGAAGTCGTTCCATTCCGGGGGGCTGTATGACAGTGTTCCTATGGAATATGGATGGAGCTCATCAGGGGGATGCTGCTGCTCCCAGAGCCTGGCCCCAGCATCCCTGGGCATGTGGGGGCTGCCCCAGTGGCACACGGGGTGACCTGCTGCCCTCTCGCCAGCACCTGGGACTTGGGTACAAACCTGGGGTTGGAAAAGAAGCCACTGGTGCTGGAAGAGGGCAGCAGAAACCCTGGCAAGGCCTGACCATGACACACAAAGGGAAATACCCACTCAGTGCTGGGGAAAAACCATACCCACATCCTCCCTGCTGGCATTGCCCAAAAAATATCTTGAACCAAGGCAAACCAGGTGAGCAGAGCAGTCCAAGCCCATTCTCACCTGCACACCAAACCAGCAGGTGCACAGGTTCTGCCTCCCCCTCTCTGCTACCCCCACCCATGGGGGTTTTGTCAGGCTGGCTGCCCCAGCCCCAGCCCCAGTCCTGGGCAGAGTGGCAGGCAAAGGCTGCCAGCAGGGCTGGAAGATGGGTCCCCACCCAGCTCTGCTCAAAAGCAACTTGGCTGAAGACTCAGTCCTGTGACTGGCAGCCAAAGGGAGAATCCCTCCTGCCACACCCAGGTTGGGCCAGGAGATGCCAGGACCAGGATCACCACCCCTGTGTGGGCTCACCTGCAAATTGAGTGTAGGCTGTGTCCTGCAGGTAGGTGCCACAGCCGAAGTCAATCAGTTTTGCCTCGCCGGTGTCCAGGTCTACCAAGACGTTCTCAGGTTTGATATCTCGGTGCAGGACCCCGCAGCTGGTGCAGTGCCGCACGGCCGCCAGCACCTGCTGGAACAGCTCCCGCGCCTCTTCCTCGGACAGGAACCTCCGTGCCCGAATGAAACGTCGCAGGTCCTGACACCGCTCCGGGCGCTCCAGCACCATCACGATGGTGTTGGGGAGCTCAAACCATTCCAGCAGCTGCACCACACCGGGGAAGCCTGTGGACACCTTGTCCAGCAGCACTATCTCCAGGGGTGCGCTGGTGCCGTCGGGCTGCGGGAGGAGCACGGTGCCGTCAGTGGGGCTGAGGCCGTGCCAGGGCTCGGGAAGCCCTCAGCCAGCCCGGGATGCTCTGTGCCCTCCGCTGGCCCCACGCCCGCTCTCCCTCCAGGTGTCCTGGCGGCTCCCACCCTGCCGGGCCCCGGCTCATCCCCGCCCGGCACGGCCCGGCTTCTGCCGCTGGCCCCGCTCACTCACCAGCTCGCCCCAGTGCCGGACGCGGTTCCGTGGCACCTTTTTGATGGCCACCTGCAAGCCAAAGGGAACAGCGGATTCAGCTCACCGCCCACCGTGTCCAGCCCCATCCTCCTCCTCCGCCCCCTCCTCCTCCTCCGCCCGCCGCCGGCCCCTCTGCTCACCGGGAGTCCGTCCGAGAGCCGAGTGGCCGCAAAAACTCTGCCAAAGCCGCCGCGCCCCAGCAGTGAACCCACTCGGTAGCGCTGCTGCAGGGCCTGCTGCGCCTTCCCTGGGGAAGAGACGCGGCCGTCAGTGCTCGGCCCGGGGCCAGGAACGGCCCCCGAGCGCTCCCCGAGCTCCCCGGGCCGGGCACCCGCAGGCGTTCCCTCATTGGAACGCGACAGCGGCGGAGCTCGGGCCGGGGAAGCCGCAGCGGAGGCGGCGGCAGCGGCCGCACCGCCTGTGTCCTCCGCGGGCCCCGGGAGGAGCCGGGGCCGGGGCCGGGGCCGGGGCCGGGGCCGGGGTCGGCCCAGGCGGAGCCAAAGGGCAGCGATGCCGCCCCAGCCCCAGGCAATGATGCCCGCCCAGCAGCGCCAGCGCCAGCACAGCCAGAGCTGGGCGGAGGCGAGACCGCGGAGGGACGGCCGGGGCCGGGGCCGGGGGCGGACCGGGGGCATGGCCCGGGTGGGCACGGGGAGAGGGAACCTGGAAGAGGAGGGGACACAGGAAAAGGGAGACCGGGAGAAGATGCGGGACAGTGGGAGAGGGAGAGGAGAATCGACGGAGTCAAGAAATTCGCTTTTTGTCTGCTTCCAAT